TAAATTTGGCATCAAATTTATAGTTATGTGATACAAATATTTAAATATGTAGCTTTGTAATAGTTTGGAAATTTACTGTAAAATATACTACTACATCCATCCCAAAATAAGTTCATTTTCTCGTCCTACATATATCAATACAAAACCTAAAAGACTATATTATCCCCCATTTTATCAAATCTCAACACAATTATTCATCTATTTATCTACTCCCGATATATTTATACTATACTTTTACAAATTCCAAAGTAATGATTACTTAAAGTTAAACTTATTTTGGATAAATAGAAAGGACTAAAAATTAATTTATTACAGGAGGGAAGAAGTAGAAGGATTGCTCCCAAGAGCACCTTTTATCTTCTATAATTAACTCCATACTTTGTATTTGAGTAAAGTTCACAAAGCTAAATGTACTTTGATCAAACTATCACAAAACTATATATTTAAAAAGGTGTATCACAAAACTATAGATTTATTATCAAATTACAGATTTAAGGTAGAAGATCACCAAACTACGTTTACAAATAAAATTATCACAAAACTACATGTTTTGTATCATATCATGTTAAATACAAAACTACAACATTTATAACTCTAACATAAAGTAATGGTGGGGATTTAAACTGTAAAATATATAGTTTCATGATGACTATAGTATTAAATCTATAGTTTTATGATAGTTGGTCCCAAATCTATAATTTTCCGATAAATCTTGTGTTAAATTTTTATATAGTTTTGTGATACATCTTAAATTAATATATACTCCCTCCATCTCAAAATATAAGTGATTTTAGGTGGATGTGACATATCTTAGGACTATGAATCTGGCAAGCTTCCTGTCCAGATTCATAGGGGGTGTTTGGATCCAGGGACTAAACTTTAGTCCCTATCACATCGAATATTTGCACACTAATTTGGAGTACTAAACATATACTACTTACAAAACTAATTACATAAATGAGAGCTAATTCGTGAGACAATTTTTTAAGCCTAATTAATCCATAATTAGCACATATTTACTATAGCATCACATAGGCTAATTATGGATTAATTAGGCTCAATAGATTCGTCTCGCAAATTAGTCCAAGGTTATGGAATGGGTTTTGTCATTAGTCTACATTTAATATTTTTAATCAGTTTCAAACATCCGATGTGACAGAGACTAAAAAATTTTAGTTCTATCCAAACAGTTCTCATAGCCTTAGGATATGTCACATTCATCTAAAATATCTTATATTTTAAGAGAGGGTTAGTAATTTTAAGATGATTTGAAATTTACTCTTCCTATTTTGTATAGAGCTGGCTTTCCAGTCACGACATATCCAGATGGCTTGCCCGCGCACGAGCTCCGATGCACACGTCGGATAAAATTAAGGCGACGTGAATTCACTCATCTATCATAACCCTGTCAAATCACAGCCGTACCTGCGCTCTCCTGATTTGACGCAACGTGGGTATGTGCAGGCCCTCGAGATGGGCGCCTCATCAAAGCCGAGCTGTGAATTCGTACGCGCGATCGAGGAGTGGAGATGGATGAAATATGATGGGGCATATTGTCCTCCTCACGCCTCCAGGTTAAAACTCCCAAAAAAATATTTACCTCTTCGTCCAAAAAAAAATAGATTAAGACTGTGTTTAGTTCACACCAAAATTAAAAATTTGGTTGAAATTAAAACGATGTGACGGAAAAGTTAAAAGTTTATGTATGTAGGAAAATTTCAATGTGATGAAAAAGTTGGAAGTTTGAAGAATTATTTTGGAACTAAACACGGCGTAATCCTAGTTACTTCCTCCGTCCCAAAAAATATGGACAACTACCCTTTATCCAGATTCATCCTCCTATGAGGGGTCACATCCCCTCTTAGATTGGGTTTTTTTAGGACGGAGGGAGTACGAAACCAGATATATGGTTTGTCCTTTTTAGGAGTAGTATATTGCTATTATGGGTATACTACGTACATTCATACATACTCAAGATGGATTTCCACCTCTCTTGAAAATATTTTATCATTTATTGTGTGTTGTCTAAATAATCATCGAAAAGTTTAAATAAAATTATTAACATATATTAATATAAAATATAACACTCCATAAGTATGTAGAACTAAATTCAATTTTTACAAGACAAAAAAGAACAAATTAAACTAAAAAAGTTAAGGTGCAGTTATATTTTTTTATAACTTTTAAAAGTTAAATTTGAATTTGCATATAGCATATATTTATGAAGTGATATATATTCCATATTAGTAGTATATTTTATCGATTTTCTTTTTAAAATATTTTATAACTATTTAGATAACTGGTAAGAAACGAGCTAGGATATTCTCTCGAGTATCGAAAACACTTTCAGGAATATATACAGGGGATATAGCGTCGTCGAGGCATTGAGGCAACTCTGTGACAGCCGAAGAAACACCATTGTAGCGAGTGTCTGACACTGACGCGCTCTCAGGTTTATTTCAGCCTGATCAGCTGATATTGATAGTCGTGGAATTAACTCACTAGTGGGTCTCCTTATGCAATTCACATTTACTGAATGCATGATATATGCACAGTGGAAGTGGACTAGTCATGTATTATCCCTCCGTTCTATTTTAAGTGTAATTGTAGCTTTCTGTTTCTAACGTTTGATCTATCATCTTATTTGAAATTCTTTTATATTAGTTTTTTATTAGATAATAAAACTGAATAGTACTTTGTGCGTGACTTATTTTAAAAAAAATTCTTACATTTTTTTCAAATATGATACGACAAACATTGAACACGGAAATACAAAACTGCACTTGAAACTCATACACTCGATCAAATTATGGATAAACGACAGTGATCAGATACACACAACAGTACTCTCTTTGTCCATAATAATATTCATAATATCATTGTTGGTTATGGACTATGGACAAACAGGAGGAGTTAAACAGTGAGATACTACCATGGGCACACACATGCTTAGTGGTACTGTTAGCTCGTACTCATAGGAGTAGTCAGCTAGAGAGACAAGAAAGGGATAGGATAAAGCTAGGTGCTTTTGTTTGGTATGAGACCATGAATGCAGGGAGGAGGTATGTATATCTAGCTAGCATTGAATATCATGTCCTGCACAAGCACAACGATATATCGGCATTTTCTGGGAGAGACCTGCTCAACCTCACCTGCCTTCATTCAAGGCTCTTCTTCCTGCCCTTCAATTCCTCACTCCCTCTTGCTCTTGTTTTGTCTTCTGTCACCCTCTGCAAAATGCCTTCTGCCTCCTCAAAAGAAAATTATGAAAAGCTACTCCTACTTCTTCAGAGTATAGACTCTCACAGAGAGAGAGATCGAGATCTAGAGAGATCAGAGAGATGTGTGCAATGCAAACGTTGGTAAGCTAGCTAGCTGTATGTTGCGCGTGCATGCACTGTAGTCGTATAAGTATTATGATCACTGCTACCTCCTTCGTCCTATATTAAATTTATTTTTAGCTCTCTCCATTTATCCTAAAAAAATTATTTTGAGAGTAATCATTGTATCAAGATTGTATTGAGAGTACGTAGATAAAGTTTAGTCAGTATTAAACATAGACCAATGGTGGTGTTTGGATCCAGGGGCTAAACTTTAGTTCCCGTCACATCGGATGTTTTGACACTAATTTGAAGTATTAAATATAGACTACTTACAAAACTAATTACGTACATAAATGAGAGTCAATTTGCGAGATAATTTTTTAAGCCTAATTAATCCATAATTAGCACATGTTTACTGTAGCATCACATAGGCTAATCATGGATTAATTAGGCTCAATATATTTGTCTCGCGAATTAGTTCAGGGTTACGGAATGAGTTTTATCATTAGTCTACGTTTAATACTTCTAATTGGTATCCAAACATCCGATTTAACAGGGACTAAAAATTAGTCCCATCCAAAAAGGCCCTAATCAATCAATTCATCGTGATTCTCCGAAGTTATAAAAAAAACATTTCTGCCAGTACTCCCTCCATCCCATTAAAGTACATACATTATATTCTATGTCCAACTGTAATCGTCATCTTATTTGAACATTTTTTATGACTAGTATTTTTATTATTAGATGATAAAATATAAATAGTACTTTATGCGTGACTTATGTTTTTTATAAAAAAAATTAAATAAGATGAAAGATTAAAATTAGACACGGAAACTCATAGTTGCGCTTAAAATGGGACGAAGGGAGTACATACCAATCTACAGTTCTACACACTGACCTGTATAAAGAGAAAATCGGTCGAATTGAACTTTACATTGCTCTGGTGCAGTGGTGCATGCATGCCACACACTACAACTTGCCCAATTGCCCTAGCTAGGCTCTTGTAGGAGCATGCTTGAGCTGCTGCAGTGCCTGTCGTGTGTTCATATCAGTGCTGTATATATGCATGCATGCGCACACACCTACTAGCTCTGGTACAAGCAAAGTGCATATATGGACCATGGAGTATGCAGATGGAAGAATTATGTGTGTGTGCTTGTTTAGCTCTGCCTCTAGATCAACTTCTTTTCTTTTTTTTTTTTGCAGAAAGTCAATAGCCATGTACAGTACTCAGGATTTATATATCTCCATGGATGCAAAGCTATAGCTAGCTGTATATTAGTATATATAAATAATTCATCGTGTGAGTAATGAGCATGTACCTTTCGTGTGAGTAAAATTTTAGTAGTAAATTAATGTACCCAATGTATTTAGATTTGCTCGGGCTCAACTCCGTAAATGTAAACCATTGGTCTGTTTGGATCCGGAGGGCTATTGGCTATTTAATAGCCCTCCAGAATTTTGTTATTTAGGAGTATTAAACGTAAATTATTGACAAAACCCATTCCACTACAGTAATCATCCGCTAATCATGGATTAATATACCTCGTTAGATTCGTCTCGCAAAATAGCCTAGGGGTTATGGAATAGGTTTTGTCAGTAATCTACGTTTAATACTCCTAAATAACAAGATTCCAAAGATATATTTAATAGCCCAAAGGATCCAAACAGGTCCCATGTATGAATGCATGCAGGGTGTATATATATATGTTGAAAAATTAAGTCAGGGACTAGCTTGAAAACAGTCTAAATTACAATCAAATGCAGCAAGCCACACTAATTAATTAAAGATAGTACATATATATATATGGTGGTTCGTCTCTGTGAACGGAGAAAAAAAGAGATAAACATGAACAAATGAAACAAGCAGTATTTGCTAATGTAACAACACATTTTCTTCTGCATGTAAAGTGGTGGTAAACAAGCCCTCCTAGCTAAGGGTCTTTAGGATATTAATAGTAATTCACCAGTTTAGTCTTCAGCTCTTGGTTATTCTCCTCAATTCATTTACCTGGGATATATATAAGTGCCAGAAAGTTACATTAATAGGGTGTCAGAAAAATGGAGAAAAATGATCACTAATTAATTAAACTGCTTCATCAGTTGTTCTATTGAAGAATTAATGCTACCTATACTGAAAAAATATATATGCCCCTATATATTTACGTGTACTGGAGTAGCATCCATGAAGAATAAATCAATTAATTATCATACTGTTCGCAAAATGTAGAAGTTGACTGATGCGCACGACTATTAAAATTTACTCCTCGGGTCATAAATATTTTTTAGCGCATTATTTGATCAAACTTTCAAAAATTCTGACTATCAACAATTCCTCAAATGCTTACTTTTAAGAAAATAGTATTAATTGTATGTTTGTCTAAAAATGTACTATCATAGTACCATAAGCTTATAAAATTTTATAACCTTGTTATAATATATAAATTAATGGTTGGAACTCTTAAGTTGTATAAAATTTTGCCATATGTAAACGTTAAATATTTATGACTGGAAAAGTACTATTTTGTACGTCACTAGATCCATGTTACTACTAGTTTAATTAATTCAAGTGTTTAATTAATTGATGTTCCACAGTACATGAAGATAACCAAAAAAAATAAGATAGAGAGAGAAGTCTTGTGACCAGCAGGCCGACCATGACCAGCCGTACGTTGGCTCATGCGTACGCACGCGTGCATATTAAAATGTACGCTGGCGCATATATATGCCGTACGACGTTGGAGTATCATTTTTTATCAATTCAAGCCTTGTTTAGTTGGGAAAAAAATTTGGGTTTGGTCGTTACATCGGATATACGCGATACATATTTGAAGTATTAAATGTAGTCTAATAACCAAATAAATTATAGATTCCGTCAAGAAACTGCGAGATGAATTTATTAAACCTAATTAATACGTCATTAGCAAATATTTACTGTAGCACTACATTGTCAAATCATGACGCAATTAGGCTTAAAAGATTCGTCTCGCAATTTACACGCAAATTGTGCAATTAGATTTTTATTTTGTCCACATTTAATTCTATATGCGTGTGTCCAAACATTCGATATGATAGGTGAAAAGTTTTTGTTTTGGAACTAAACAAGGCCTCTAAGTAGTGCAGCTCTGTACGTAGGAGCCAATTCTTTTTTTTTAAAAAAAATGTTCCAATATACACTTCTGTATCTTCAGTTTTATTTTTATTTTTTTTTCTTTGTGCTACACAGGCTTCAGCTGGAACTTGCACGGCATGGCATGAAATACCGAGTAGTCTACACATATCAGAATTTAAGTAGTAATTTTGTCCAGCTTGCAGAGTAGTACTATAAGAATATGCCCTTATTACACGCAATGTTCCAAATTAAAATCCCCTTTGTTCCAAAAATTATTACACTGCTTATAGGTAAATATTTTGATTATACTCCAAAGATGAGTTTGAATTTTAGATTTTGATTTTAGGATTAATTTTAATATAACAATCTGCGCAGTGGATCAGATGATCCAATTAGGCAGGTTCAATTCTTTACACGTGCAAAATTTAATCTGAATTCTGAAAAGACAGAACGAAAAGCACATGCCTGTCATAAGTGAAGTACGTTTTCAGATACTGTTCAAACATATGATTTGTAGTGGCTTGTAATGTAACTATTTCTAGCACAGTATTTTGTCCTAAAATGAAGCTATTTGTCTACCTACCTTCTCCTCTCAACCAATCATAACCATTCTTTTTCACCTACTTTCTCTTTTCAACCAATCATATACCTTCTTCAATCATTCTCATCTACTTTCTTAATACTCGTGTCAACCTCAAAAATGCTTATATTTTAGGACGGATGAAGTATCTCTGTAATGAGACACACTATCCACCAATTAAAAAGATCCGTAGTCAGGCCTGCCAGGGCTTGCTTCTCTACACGTACTTCGATCCAAATTAAGAGAGGAATCATCTGTAGGACGGGGATAGTCGATCTTTTTATACTGGTTTTTATACTGTACCAAAATAAACCTGAAAACTAAATGAAAGAGATGTGTAGTGTAGATGGGTTCACAACTTCACATACTATATATATGTCTTAATTAATTTATACTTATGTATATCCTACCTAGGACATTCAAACAATGCCAATGTAATTTCTTCACTGTAGGGAATTAATTGTACCGATATTGAATGGCATGCATGCAATGCATCACATAGTTTAGTAGCAGTCTAGCTCTCAACTTTCACATAGCTAACTTGATTTTATTAGCATTTCATTAACCATTCACATATATTCAATGACAAACATATATAGATGAATGAGATTGAGAGAGGATTGAAGAATCTATGCATGCATATATAATCCCAGAATTAAGAAAACCTAATGCACGCATAATTTGGATTAAGCAAAAATTAAGCTGAATTAATAGAACTAACCTGCCCAATGCAAAGATCGAAGCTGAACAGGCCGCCGCGGCTACTGCGCGGCGGTGGGCCGGTCGCCGCCGCCGGCGGTGCCGGGCTTGAGGAACGTCCCGCCGCCGAGCGGCCCGAGCCCGGACATCGGCCCGCCGGCGCCGCCCATGGCGGACGAGTACCCGAACTCGTAGCCGCCGCCGCCGCTCACGTTCACGGCGCCGCCGAGCCTCGCCACCGCGCTCTCGCCGTCGTAGCTCCTGGCCAGCATCTGCACGGCAGAGAACTGGTGGTGGTCGTTCACGAACCCACCGCCCGCCCCCCCGCCGATGCCGATCGCCGCCGCCGCCACGCCGCCGCCGCTGATGAAGTTCTGCGTGCAGTTCGGCTGCACCGCGCTCCCGATGAAGTGATCCACCATCGCCGCCGCCGCCGCCGCCTGCCCGTTCGACGACGACACCGCCACCGCCGCCTGCACACAGATCACAAACACCACACGATCAGATCAAGCTACACATAATAAACACTAGCTAGCTAGCTATATATAATTGATTGATTGATTGTGATTTGTGACCTGGTACTTGGAGAGCTCGAAGCGGGCGCGGGAGAGGTCTTGCTGGAGCTGGCGGAGCTGGTGCTGGAGGACGGAGATGACGCCGACGCAGCCGTAGACGGGGTCGCGGAGGCGCATGTCGGCCTCGTACGCCAGCGAGTTCACCGCGTCCTCCCGCTGGTAAGGGTGGAGCTCGTTCAGCAGCTTGGTCACGTTGCTCGCGCCGAACACCCGGTGCACGTGCACGAACTTCTGCGGGTTGTCCGGCGGGAAGTAGGGCGCGAACACGCAGTCCGGCTGGCACTTGCGCCGCAGGAACTTGCACGCCGCGCACGGCGACCCCGTCCCGCCGCCGCCGCCGGAGCTCGCGCCCACCGCCGGCGACGAGGAGACGGTGATCACCGAGCCGGACGACAGCGGCAACGACGACGCCGACGACGAGGCCGCCATCGATCGATCGATCCGGCTTCTGATCCTGGAGCACTACACGAGATCCAGAATTTCAAGAATTACCGGAGAGAGAAGCCGGAGAGTCGGTGAGGGTTTTTGCATTTATGGCAAATTTGGTGTAGCTAGGAAATCGAAGAAACTTACAAGGAAATGAATCATAATTTTTTTATGTTCCTGCTAATCCGTTTTTACACAGGCATGGATCATCAAGATTATTATTATTAATCTGTTTATTACTCCTCTACGTACAAAAAAAAGGAAGCAAATCACCCTAAAAAAATATATAACCGCAATTTTCTTCAAAGCAACAAGAAAAAAAATAAATTTATGTTCGTCATCAAATTCCAAATGTCCCAGATATTTATTTATTCCCTTTCTTGTTTGCAAGAGTGATGGTTTGGGTTCTCAAGAGACATAGCGAGGTTGCGTACATGTGTTCATCTTCAATTAATTTCTTACTCCACTAATTGAAGATGACCCAGCCGACTGTAAACATTCCTGTTTCTTGGATCAGTACTCTTCCACAAACGCTTAGACTTAATTAGCTGATTAATAACATTATAAATCAAGAACACCAAGATCGAAGCAAGCTTGAAATCAAACATTAAGAGGGAAAGAGGACGATAAAGAACAAGAAGAAGAAAACGGAAGAAACAAAACAAGTTAAGAAAAGCCATTGGATCCAACTGCGAGAGAGAGAGAGAGGTAGCTAGCTAGCTAGTACGGCGAGGAGGCCAAAGTACACGCACGCACGCACGCACGCACCCTTTCCGTGGGACGACGAAGCTTTTCTGCGCACTTCGTGCCGCTGCCGGCCGCAACGCCGCGCGCGCCTCCGCCTTCTCCGGCCTCTCGCCTTCCTCTCTCTCTCTCTTCTTGCTGCGTCGGCGACCTCCTCTCTCCCCTCTTTTCCTAGCTCCTATATTTAGCTTAGCTGCTGCGGGCTTGTTAGTTGAATGAATCTCTAGTTTTTTTTTTCTCTTCCTCCCTTTCTTTTGTTTGTTTCTTTTTTCCTCTCCTCCCTCCCTCTCTAGCTACCTAGTTGGTTCTGGTTGGATGGTTGTTTTAGAGAGAGAATGGAGTATGAAAGTGACGACCAAAAGATGGTGAGGTGTGTGGTATATGTTGAGAGGGATGGGGGGAGAATATGGGGATGGAGTGTCAAAAACAAATCATTATCCGTCTTCATTATTGGATGGCGCGCGGGTTATAATTGAGGGAAGAATGAAGGGGATTCTGGTTTCGGTGGTTTGAGGAACGTGCACTACTGAAAAACCGATCTTTACTCGGTCAGCCAAAAACCCAAATCTCTCGGTGTCTTTAGTACCGGTTTGTAAGCCCAACGGCTCGTTAGGATCTTTCGTAAGCCCAATTGCTGTGATCTTTTGTTGCATTTTGGTTTAGAATTGATGATATGTTTTTTTTTCGTTTTAATTTGTAAAGTTAGCACAAAGAAATTCAAAGATGTACTCTCTAGCTGTCACAAAAACATGTAGTAGATGTGTCCTTTATGTGTAAAAATACTTTCCCAGTTTTGGACATACAAGTCAAACTTTCAAGATCTTCTATATGTGTAGATTGGATAAAATGTACATAGTTAGGAAAAACAATAAGAGAATGGAAGAGGGCTGTAGTCACGTGGGACAAGGAGAAGGTGCAAGGCCCGTGCTTAGGGTTGCAAAATAGAAGAGGTAACTTAAACTCATATTTCTTTCCCTTTTTTCAGCTCTACAAGAAAATTTTCACAATCACCTACCGCTTACTTAAGTCATGTACAACACGCATAAGTACAACCCATAGTAATGATAACTCAACAAAATTCTATGCTAGAGGAGACATAAAAGAGAGGTAGGGGTGTCCTCTCTCTACTGAGGGATTGTAAATTGTATGAGAATTAAGAAGCATTATGATGGAAACAAGGTTATTTTTTTTATAAACCTGGACGATTGCTCGCGCCGACAATGTAGCTTCGAACAGACGAATCAAGCTCCGATTAAGTTTGGAGCTGCTAGATCAGTGGCTGGCAAGATTAACAACTATAGGTTCATAGCCTGCTGTGGTCGATGGCAAGAGATATGGTGGCTAGCAATGTCAAGGGTGTCGGGTCTAGGAGACAATGAGGCGGGGGTGTGAATACCAAGAGGTCAAAGTGATCTCATAGCAACCAAGGTCAGTAGCTACAAATCCAACAACAAACAGTGTTAAGGGCGCCAGATCTAGGTAGGGGCCAATGAGGTTAATTAGGTTGTGGTTGTTGGCTAGCAAGGTTGGCATTTACCTAGATCATTGGCTATCGAGGTTGGCGCAAGACTAACAACAATCTCGGTTATGAGATCCAAAGTGCAAGTGCGCCTAACGAACTTGGTGATGCGAAACTAGCTTAAATCCTACAACGATCCCAATGTGGTGGTGGCGGTCTGGTGGCATGTGGGGATAATATTATAAGGGTTAGTTCCTATAGACTTAATAGTTGTATGAGAGGCTTCATAAGTGTGCTATCTATTGATGACATGGTAAACACTGTTAAGCATGCCTTTTGTAGATTAATTGCAGGTTCCAAGTGTGAAAGTAGGGACTCTCATTGCAGTCCGTTGCCCTCATTGCAATTATGATCGTACAATGATTTTTCTATTTGTGTGGGGATGCTTTTTTTTTGTAAATTAAGGATTTTGCATGTTAAAACTGTATCTCCAATGATAATTCTACCTTTGACGAGTGAATCTTAACAGTTATATTGTTAGCATTTAATTAAGTAGATGTTTCCCTCTCACTCAAGAAAATATAGAAGTTCTCTTGGTAAATACTCCTATGAGATATCTGATATCTCAACTCTATGATTTATATGTAAGAATTTCATAGGCTGAATTATTAATTATAGCTTTTCTATAATATTTTTTAAGTTATTTACTCATTTCTGTAATTCAAAAAATAAATTTTGCTTTACGCAGTTACGACACATTACCATGAACAATAACACTATATGCTACTATATGTAGCACCACTTTTCATGGTGGTATGCAAAATTTAGTAGCATTAATTGGTCGTCCACTTTTGCTGACACTTTCCAAAAATACTTATATTTAGAGATAAGTTTTCATATGATTTATTTTTATTTCATTAAAAATATATCATGAGAAAAGGTATTTTGTGCATCCCCTTTGATTGATTATTATAAGAAATACATAAAAAACCTCACCCCTCAAATGATGAGTATGCCTTAACATTATTCGAAAGTAAATACTGAATTAGTTAATTGGCTTTTTTTCAATAATATCAACTTCAATATTAATATATCATCCTGGACCACATTGATTTTATTTAAATCTGTGGAAATAGATGTGCAAAGATGCTACCAAGATGGAGTATCGAACAGTTCTAGCCCAACAGCAGACACTGCACTACACACAACTCCTTCCTCTCTTATTTAACACCAAAATAAGAACCCTAGCTAGCTTTCTCTTCATATCTCACCCCAACATTCATGCAAATAGAAAGTCACCAGCGCAAAATACATTGTGTCATTAATGCATGTAGCAAGAATATACATGATTGATGATGCCCCCCTCTCTGTCCTTTTCTCACCACTGCTCAGCCATATAACATTCAATACCATGATGGTCACAACTCATGTTGCGTGGCCACTCTCATCATGACAAGGTAAAACTTTAACCCTCAGTACTTTCTAATTATTTAGAAACAAAATGAAATGTGCGTCGTTGAATAGTATATACTCTCACCAATATTTGAGCTCTAACTAACTTGCATAATATAGGGGAAATTGAATTTGATTAATACAAATGAGCTGCAACTTCTAGTTTGTTTTCTTTATTATTTGTTGAATTAATCTAGATACATTTGTATGCTTATATAGATCTCTCTCTTTTTTCATATCAGCGAGGATTTAAAACAAAGTATATTTTTTAAGTTAGTCTAGAACATTATTTGTTTCACAAAAGAAGAGAATAAGACATAAATTTAAGTTATTGGATATTGATACAGGCTGAGTTCGATTCAGCGGGGATGTATCCCTGGAACACAAAGTGAGAAGATCCATTACGTGTGATTAATTGATTATTAAGTCATATAAACTTAACTAGTAGGTATATTTGACTTTTTATAAGATTTTTCTATATATATTTTAAAAAAAGAGCATACCTTTGATAGTTTAGAAAGCGTGCTTATGTAAAACAAGATATTTTATAGCTAAATCAAGAAGCTAAAACAAACTTAGGCCCTGTTTGGGGGAGCTTGTCCCAGCTGCAGCCTTTTCCAAAAGCTGCTTCTGCTAGAAGCTGCCCCAAACAGTCCACAGCTTCTGAGAATATGTAGTTACAGATTCTGAAAAATGAACTAAGAAGCCAGAAGCTGGAGAAGCTGGGTTTCAGAGCTTTTCCAAATTCTCAGAAGCTGGCTACCAAACAACTGTTTCTCAGAATTTAAAGCTCCTCCAAACAGACCCTTAGTCTTAATGTTGAGAACAGAGATTAATACATAATGGAATATAATATAATCTATTTATGCATATATTTTATAAGTTGCAGCGTTATAAAACCAGTGTTTGCACATCGTTAGAAATTTATTCCTTTTTACGGTTGAGAGAAGTCCCGGGCATATCTGTTAGAAGCTCTTATACGTACATCTACCTGCAGACAGAATAGAGTAGCAACAAAAAAAAATGAAATTAATTTCATGGTGTGCAAGTGTGCAATGCATGCTGATCTAGATCGACTCTCACACATGTCACAGCGCAAACTTCCACGCCATGCCATTTTTAGCATCATCAGCTGATGACACACATGCTCTCACGCATATTATTATCCTGTGTTTAAGACAAGCAAGCTGGTTCTCCTGACCAAATTCATTGTACTATCTTTCAAGTTAATTGAATGGCTCCCCTGCAGAGGCACGCAGGATGCAGTATTTGCAGCGCAGTAGCAAAGTGAATTTCATTTCCTCCATGTTGTACACAGCTGCAGCTTGCGCCGGCCAGTACTTTATCCTCCCCGCGCGCTCTGACAGCGTAGGCAGGCACACGCACATTGTCTGCCAAACCCGATCACCTCGGCAATAAATCCTCCGCCGATTTCGCACATGGCGAGAATGACAGCGCGTACGTTAAACTTTCATCATCCGCCCGAGAATTTTTCATCAATCAATCCTCAGGCTAGCTAGCTGCAGCAGCAGTGGGCGCCGGGCGGGCGGCCGGTGCGTGTGTGGTCGTCAGTGGTCTCCCTGCGCTAACTTTGACGCGCGTCTCATGCAATTTACTCTGCCTCGATCGCCGGCGCCACCACCGGTCGCCGCCTGCAGCAGCTCGCCGGCCGGCCTGCGGCCAATTCAATGTAGGGTACATGGTTGGCTGGCTTAACTCTCTCTCCCTCGGCAGCCGGGGGCCCAGACGATGACGCCGACATGCGAGCTGCGCGCTGCTTGGCATTGATTTTGTCGGTCGGTCGATCGATCGATCGGCTAGTAGCTAGCTCTCCCTCGTCATCGTCGTCGTCCACCGATCGATTCCGTATTCTGTCCTGGCGCGGGGGCGAGAGCTAGCTAGCACCCATGCGCGCGCCGGCCACCACCACCACCGGCCGCTCGTACTTACGTACGTACGCGCGCGGCGCTCGGCCCTGCACGTACGCATGATTGTTTGTCAAGTGCCCCCATCCGTTTCCGTGCATGGATGGATGGATGGATGGATGCATGCACGCGTCAACATCGGTGATCTATCCTTGCATGCGTGCATGGCCCCCGCTACGGCGGGCCAACGGCCAACCGGGCGGCCGGCCGGGTTCTAGTTTCAACGTCGGTTAATTTCGTACTCCCTTCGGTTCCATAATTCTTGACGTTTTAAACGACACGGTTTTCAAAATATATACAATAATTAAATACATGCTTACTTTTATGGAGTAGTACTTTATAAAATCAATATGTATATGTTTTTATAGTGCCTTTAAACTGAATATTTTTAAAGTTATTGATAGTCAAATTATAACAACTTGATCTTAACATTGTCCAAAACGTTAAGAATTATGGAACCGTGCAGAGTACGCGCGCAGTGGTCCAAAGCCGACCTAGCTAGCTTAGCTTAGCTTAGCTAGCTCCTACTCAGTGTGTTCCGATGTTCGTCGTCCATCATGCCAAGTTGATTAATTGAC